CCCCAAAACCCCAAAACCCCATAATCAAGATTTTTTAATGATCAATTGATTTAAAGTTTAAAAAGTCAAGTAAAATAAAAAATTTCAAAAGCTTGGAAAAATCACCCTTTTTTACTATTTTGCTGTTGAATAACTAAGTCACTTAATCTATTGCTTAACTTCCAAGGAGGGTGTTTCTTGAACCTGAGCGTCCTCCCAAAAATCATCTATTGTTTAAGTTCCTTCATACTGTAACTACTCTTCATTCTAACATTGATTGATGTTACTCTCTGTATTGAATTAATTTTCTTCATCTCTGGGAGTTTCATTTGGACTAAGCTTTGGACTGTCATCATGCTTAATAACAGTAGATAGTTGTGCTTCATCTTTACTAAGCCTTAACTGCAATCTAATATCATTAAGTTCTGTGACAGATGCTCCTAATGTTGTTGATCTAGCAATTGGGTTAACATTTACTGAAACCAATTTTTAAGCTGATGATCTTAACCTTGAAGGTTTTCGTTCCTCTAAATTAATATTTATGAAGTATCGAAGCACTGCCTTGTACATTAATGATTTCAAGTCTTTTTATGCATTTTCTCTATTCTGTAAGAATAAACTATGTAGAAAGACTTAGTTATAGGAGTTTGAAGGATTCTAGTTATCAGAAAAAAGTTCAACCATGAGCTGTGTTACTTCATTAACGAATAGCTTCTAATCTCCTTATTTGAGAGCTTTCTCCTTTTTTTGTTTATCTCTTTCGTACATCTAGTTTAGTTGATATTTTTTGAAGAATGGTATCAATTTCCTTTGGTATTTTGATAAAAGCAGACTATTCGTCATTTTAAATATTCTCAAATCTCTTAAGATAACAGCAATATCAAATTGTCTCTCTATTTTCTTTTTACCAAAGTCAAATAGTTCTCTTTATATTCTAAAATGTTTTCTCTTGCAAAGGAATAGCCTTTTTACATAGTAAGCTAAATACTACCTAAATCTATACCTGAAAGGTACACGGTTTTTAAGTCTTTTAATCAGCTCTAGATAAGTGTTGAAGTCTTTAGCCTAAAATTTGGAAATGTCTAAGTTTTTATCATTTTCTTTTAATAAATTTCTTCTTATATAGGAAAATTGAGACAGTCTTCGAAAAACATCACTTAACACTCTATCCTTCTCAACCATGTATGACTTTTTCAATAAACTTTGATAGTATAAAAATTCCTGCATTGGCCCGAAAAGTATACGAACAATAGCAAATACTATTCCAGCTAGTCCTCCAGTATTTGAAAGAGCACCAACAAGATTATTAGCCTGTCTTTCAAATACATTTTACTCTGTGGTCATATAGAATCTATAAATGAATATTATGACTTAATTGATTCTTACTGAATTGTAAAGTGGATTGGATCTGTTAATGACTTATCGTTAGCACCCTAGCTTACGAATTTAGTTGAAATAAACTCTCTCTAGTAATTGCCTATATTTTCATGTATCTTAGAATCTGATATGATAGCTTTGTTGTAACCAATCTCATAATTAATTATTTTCTCAAATTATGAGAACCTGAAAGCATTTTAAACGGTGTTTACTTTTACAGGGCTTTCATTAAATTCTTCTGGATCAAAGTAAAACGATGAAGAGAATATTATAACGTTTGTATTTGTCAATATCTCCTAAGCTTTGGTTTTATTTTTTTCGCAAGTTGAATTAGGATATTTTTTAGATAGATATTCTTGATCACAAGCTCCTATTCTATAAGTTATTCTATTGTTGTCAGTTCTAAATTTCAATTGCTCAAACTGTTTAAAGCAAAGTTACTCTGCGTATTAATACCTTTCTATCATAGCTTTATATCTTTCACTCGAGAACATTCTGTCTTTTGAGCATTTGAACAATTCTAGATGCTAATCCTCATTAATTCTGTCTCCGTCTTAGTCCAGTTTATCTGTGGTAATTGTAAGAATAGTAGTGATATTGGCATATCTGTAAATATTCTCATTTTTGTCTTGTTCTTTGTTAAAAGCAAAAGGAGGTAACAACATTAATGCTGTATCAAAACTGTCTTTGCTGATAGGAAATTGCAGATTATCAAGATCTAGCTGGATAAGAGTCTGTTTGAAGGAATTTTTGTTGTTTTGGATGTCAGATAGTTGTAAAATTAGATACCATGCTAACAATCCCACTGAGATGACAGTCAACAGTGCCCCGGGTAAGGTCTTTTTGGTGCTATTTCCTTTGTAGAGCAACTTTACTTCATGACCATATATATCTAATGATCTTAGAAGTCCCTTGACGGTTTGCATTTTTGCTGTTTGATGATTCTTTAAAATGATATATTATTCTTAATTAATAAAAACCTTATGAAATATTAATACTGATTTTATTTAATTGCAGATCCAATGTTCACTTATATGAATCATGGGGTTTTGGGGTTTTGGGGTTTTGGGG